TCATGACAAGCCGCCCATATTCAGACTACCAGAATGACAGGCACTCCAAACATGAAACCACTGTTACAAATTACCATCTGCAGTGCAGTAGCTTAGTTCACAGCTATCAGTATATATATTTAGTCAGGGTGAGAATCTCTCCAATCAACTGCTAGATTCAAAAATCTTCTGAAGATTCTCAGGATCATTGCCCCGCTCATCTTTTACATATAACTATATGGCTTGACATTGTCATGTTTCCCAGCTCTTCTCCCCTCCATCCCTTGATTAGCCAGTCCCCGAGATCCTGCTCTCCCCCCACTTGCATTATATCTTTCTATTTTATTTCTTCTTTGGAGTTCTTATACTAGGGGGAAGAGCACTCTTATGTGTACTCGTAGTACAAACAAGTAGCATACCCCAAACTTTCACAATCACTTCAGTTCCTTAGAAAATTTGGCTCAGTTTCCAGTTTGTCAGTATTTTATTATAGAACTTTAATGATATCTTGGACTGTCTATTATTTCCTTGTAACCTACATTTTGGAGACACTGTTAATAACAGATAAATCATTTTTCCATCAACTCTATACATAGTAGCTTTATTCCACTGTAGCAATCTTACTGTACTGCTTGTAATAACCTCTTCAGTATCTATAATCACTTCTAATGTCAATGTAAGGAAATGTAAAAAATAATTACCCTAGAACATATAAAGAATTCTTAAAATTCAGGCCTCCAAAATTCAAAGACAAAATCAAAAACTGGGCATCTGAGATGAATAGACACTTCTCAGATGAAGAAATACAAATGACAAATAAATATATGAAACAATGTTGATTATTGGTTATTCAAGAAATGCAAATTAAAACAACACTGAGATTCCATCTCACCCCAGAAAGAAGACTGGAAATGCAGAAACACAAAGTGCTAAAATACTAGGGAGATCTGCTAACATTTACTTTGACTCTAAAGTATAAGAAAGTAACAAAGGAATTTTCATTTGATTTTCACAAAGAGTTGACATTACTCTTATATTAAAGATGAAGGAAGTAAGATTCTAGAGCTGGGATATAAATATCAAACTACCTAAACATAAAAAGAGTAGTAAAAAAAAATCTTTATTATGTTACATGTGAGAGTTAAATAAGTATCATGTTTGTGCATTAAATTTATTTGAGTTGGCTCAGAGGCAAGGCAAAAAGAAAGAAATGTTTACACAACTGTCATCTGACACTATTGATAGCACATAGATTTACCAAGTATTAAGTCACAGGAGTACCAATCATGATTTGCCGGTATTAAATCACAGGAATACCAATCAAGATTTATCAAGTATTAAGGCAGGACTGTCAACCAAGATACAGGACAGTGTCTCCACAATACTTCACAACTGTAAGAAACTTTCACTGAGCTACATCTAGTGTCAGTCCTCGCTTTAAGTCATAACATCAAAATATAAATAGAAATAAAAGTTTATTTTCTAAGAAACTAGTCTTGAACTAGCAAATACCAACATATGTAAAATGCTTTCAAAAACAATGATTCCATTGTCAACTCTGAAGAACACAAAATCATATAGACCTTGCTTTGCAAAATATATTTAACTTACTAAAAGTTCCAAAAAGTTATGCATTAAAGAAATTTGTCTGAATTATTTAACATACTTTCCCATGATTGTCATTATCATCCTCTGGAAAGGTTAGCATATACTAATTCAGTTTTATCTGTGTACTTACTTTGTGTCATCTGGTTTTTGAAAGTTAAATACAAAAATTACTCTCACAAGAAACTGAAGTACTAATATATATTTATTCACTGTAGAGAGAACCATATTTTGTTGGAAGAGTTTTCTCATGGTTATGGGGAAGCCAAGCAGATAGCTCAGTGGCATAAGCATCTGCCTGGCAAGCACAAGGTCGAGTTCGATCCCTGGTACAAAAAAAAAGCCTGAAGGAATGAGAAGGAACTTAAAAGATATCTCTAGACCTGTGCAACTGCTGGAGTACACGTCTATCTGAATAGATTGTACTCAGAAAAATAAGGCAGAGATAATTTCAGACAAAAGATTTTAAGAAGCTGAGGATAGTAGCACACACCTGTAATCCTAGCACTCTGAGAGGCTGGTATAGGAGGATCACAAGTTTGAGCCTAGTCTGGGCAAGCTAGCAAGATTCTTTCTCAAAATAAATAATACAAAATGGGCCAGAGATACAGCTCAGTACAAAAGCAATGGCTTTAATCCCCAGTCCAGAGGAAGATGGGGCTAATGAGCAGATGTTAATAAATTATTTTTCCTCAACTATAAAAGGATATTTAAATATTTTTAAAACTTCAACACTTGAGAAGCTAAGGCTACTGGTAACTTTTCAGAGAAAGATAACTACAAAACAATCCAGGTACTGAATGAATTGATCAGTTAGATAATATTGTTGGGAATAAGACAACCAAGTTATGGACAATTCCTGTCAAATATAATTTTAGGTCTTTAGGGCTGGAGAGATGGCTCAGTGGTCTAAA